ATTCTCGCTTTCAACTTTGTCGTGGAGCCTAGTACGGCCCCATAGGGTTCAAGGATAGAGAACATGGGTCCCAATAAAACCAATGTCATTTACATCAATAATATAATATAATATTATATCATATAAAGGTTAACTTTAATCAATCACTAATATGCAAGTAGACGTGGATATTCGTCCGAGCATCGGACACCTGTTGTACGCTATTCGTACGAGGCAGTTGTTGATGTAGTCGCGACGCCGACGCCGACCCCAGTAATGCGGGTCTGGCGGCAGTGTCTATCGTCAATGCTGACAAGAAACTGGATGTGGCGCTTATAGTAATATACTGGCGCCGATATATGCCATCCTTGGCGTGGAACTTTACTTTTAATCTGAATTCGAATCATTTTATTACGTGGCATGCCACGCTATGATGTCTGGTAGCGGCCACAGACATAAGATATATCAAGTTGTTAACTAATGGTGAATATAAACATCATGCAAAATGGGTCTGTCTTCATTCCGTTTGTGCACCCAATCGAAAATCACTTCCATTGACTTCGGTCTATTCCGAGTTCACATATAGTCGGCCATCTACTGGTCACCGGTTATCTCGGGAGTGAAACTCGCAACTAACGGAAAGTGAAATTTCATTGCGCCCCGCCCCTGCGAAATGAATATAGGCCAAAATAATCGACAGTATACTCATTACTACGGCGATGAAATTAATTCGCATGAAAACAAAAGTACGAAAGAGATAAAGGTCTTCGGAAAGCGATACTTGACAAAGCAGCAACGGTCTGTACTTGATATTTTGGGTCGGATATATACCCCCGTCACGCCCTCAGTGCTACTCGTTTCACCTATCCAATGCCCACAACAAAAATTGCAACAATTTTTACAAGGGTGACTGCAGACGATAAACCCGCACCCTCAGATTAGCAAAGCGGAGTTATAACGTCTGCATTTGCGGACTAGGCTCATAGGGTCTATGTCTCCTAGGGTACTGCCGGAACGTACCCTGGGTACGGTCCGGTATACCGGAACGTACCCTAGTAACTATCTAGCTGATATGGTTAGGGTTAGGGAGTAGGCGTAGGCGACTTCTTAGACTCGTTAGTGGAGTAGGCGAGGTACGGTCCTGCATATTAGATAGTATGGCTCAGGGATAGAGAAGATGTCCAGTCCTATCTTATCAACTAACATCATCCTATCCAATCACCGTACTGGACATCATCTCTATCCTTTTTCAGGGATAGATAAGATGTCCAGTCCTATCTTATCAACTAACATCATCCTATCCAATCACCGTACTGGACATCATCTCTATCCTTGAACCGATAGTATTAGTAGTATTTAGTAGTAGTACCAGGGTACGTTCCTGCATATTAGATAGTACTTAGTAGTATTTAGTAGTAGTACCAGGGTATGTTCCGGCAGTACCCGGGGGGACATAGACCCTCCCGGCCCTAGTACGTCGGACCAGGGGCGAGATCCATCAACGTTGCGTAAAGTGTATTAGTTACGTACGCAGAGTTTCTACGAAGTACGTACGTAAAGCTCGTAGGTGCGATTCATCAACGCTTCTGCGTACGCAAATGTTGATGAATTCCAGTGTAAATCCACTACGCCATCGGCATCGTAGCTGCTGGTTGTTGAGGGGTGTGCCTAGCATAAACCAATCACACTGTGCGACACATACCATAGCAACCAAACTGACGCCTCTCTTGTACATGTAAACCATATGGCTCTAGCTCTGTCTATATCTATATATGGTCTAGCTCTGTGTATATTGACGTTAGTCACACAGCCTGGTCGGGTTATGCCAAGCTATGATAAAAGAAGCGTCAAAGGCGCCGACTGTCAGTGTAGTATTGTAATTATCTATTTATTTTTAGTTGAGTAGTAATTTTATAAGGTTTTCTCAATAAAATAATGCATGCCTGCGCTATGTTGGAAACACTTGGGGAAATTTTGAGTGGTTTACTGCACCTCTTCAGTTCGTGTAAAGTTACGCAAAGGTTTACCTAAATTTTAGCTTGATGAATCTCACCTAAAATGGCCTCACTTGCGTACGGGGAATTGTACGCAAATTTACTTAATAGCTGTGTTGATGAATCGCAACTATACAACGTCGATTGCGTACACAAGATTTACGAAAAATATTTTGCGTACGCGCGTTGATGAATTTACCCCCAGATTAGTATTACTATTAGTATTATATACATGCGGCTAAACAGAGGAATTGCTCCATCTTGTGATTGGAAGATAAAAATAGAATTTGTGACGTTTATCAAGTCTGTCAATATATATGACACACACATGTACAACTTGATTGATAACAAAACCTAGTCTAAGGGGGTGAGGCAAGTAGCTATATTGTGTATTCAACCTTCCTCTCCCCTTATCTTTTTCTCTTCTCCCCTCTCATTCCCATATGCCAGGCTTCCAGTGTCAAAACTTCACATCAGCTGATGTTTTTGAGCTAATCACGAGGTTCGAGCAATTCCTCTGTTTAGTGATGTTACCATGCAGTCGGCTTGATTTGCCAGTCAGCCAGTTCAACACTACTTGAACAAGAAATTCTTCGTGAAAGTTAGCAAATATTTGCAGAATCCTCTGTAAAGAGTGTAAATGTTGAAATCGTTTGAAAAGCATCATGCAAGTACTGTAAGACTGGTTTTCATGCGTTACTCTTACTCGTCGGTCAGTGAGCGTAGACAGTGATGGTCAAAGACGTCTTGTATATTATAGACGGCTTTATTCGGATATATATGTTACGACAAACACGACACGCACCCTCCGTACGCGAGTGCCACGCCTAGACTCCTCTTCTCGATTATTATTTTCCCTTACATCGATCGCGGCCTGGCATCCCATTATGCCGTGACGTCGCATTGTCCATTGCCCAATCAGGAGGTTTAGCTGGCCTTATTGATTAGCCCCTTATGCTGACCCATGTGCAAACGCGCCCGGACATCAAGCAAGAGGGAATGCCAATCCTCACCAGACCATGATA